ATTGCTTATGATACTATTCATTCTTATGTAGGTATGTGATATATACTATGGTCAAAACCTTATCCTTAATTCAAATTTCTTAGGAATCTCCTGGCATTTCTCACAAGACTAATGCTTTTAAATCTCAAAAATTGAAAACTTGTGTCTCTTAAATCATCAAGTCAAATTTTCCATAACATGTGTGCTATTAAACTGGGGCTAGAATTCAAAACTAACGTTCCAGAAAACCCAGAAATTATTTGAATATAATTTTACAGAATGTGGGATTGACATTTTTCTGCAGGCAGGACTCCAGCAAATGGAAACAATTCCTAAAAGTATAGGCCAAAATATTATTTTCCTCATTTATTCTACCCAAATGGAGCCATGTGTACTTTTGTTTTTGAAAATATCCTCAACTAGATTTCAACTGTTCATTCAATATACCGTATTTACTCAAGTACCACACGCACCTTTTTTCTCAAATTTCAGAAGAAAAAAATGGGTGCGCGTCATAAGTGGGTACACATTTTTCAAGAAGTTTCAGGAAGTTATATGTACATTATACTAGATTATAATGGAGAAATTTGTAAAAAAAATGAAACAAGAACACTTTTTTTTACTGAAAAATTTGAAAACTGATCAGATTTTTGTTCAATGCATGCCTAAAGTCAATTTTTTGTTTTTATTTTTGAAATTTTGTGGTTCTAGATTCCCTAAAAATTGAGGTGCGCATCTTACTCGGGGATAAGATTTTAGCCAAATTTACAACTGAAAAACCCCTGTGTGTGCCTTACTTGAGGGCACGTGGTACTTGAGTAAATACAGTAGATTAAAACATGACAAAATACACCATATCCAAAAATAATCAACAAAAAAACAACTTTCCCCTCTGAATTTATTAGACATTAGAAACTCAATACAACTATCTTCTTATTTATAATCATTTATTGATTATAAGTCTTACAACAAGCTAATTTTGCAGGTTCCTGCTCAATAGCATTAATTTTCATCAAATTGCTTAATGGTGAATCACTTGTGATAATGAAGCTGTTTTCCCAGCCCCAAACAATTTCTTGTGCTGAGATTTTACTGTATTTCCAAAAAGTATATAATTTGAGTAGATGACACTGATGGAGGCAACTTGTTTTACCCAAAAGACTCAGGCCTGAAAAGAAGCAGAACATCAGTTAAATCAGCAATGCAGTAGTTATCATCAAAGAAAGGAAGTCTTTTTTAAAATTTACTGAGGAGTGACAAACAGTTCAAATACAGTATACCCACCATAAGTTTATTATGCTCATTGCAGATGTATGTGACTATACAATGAAATAAGGCTGAAATTCATCATTATGGAGGCCCCTTCATTCTGGCTCCATAGACAAAAGCTGTCAATTCAGGACTGGAAAACAAGTCCCCAAACTGGAGCCACACCTCAAGCACTTGTCCTCTTTCAAATGGACCACAAGACTTGGAAGCAAATGCCCTGTTCACATTGTCCTGTCTGTGAGTCACATCCAGCACTTGGGGTGCAGTGATTTTCCTTGTGCCAGGAATCCTGTCATATCTTTGGAAATCCACAAGCAAGTCTTCAAAGTCAGGTGTGCTGAAGCCACAAAAGAGGAAGCAATAGTTGCCAGGGTCTTTGGCCACAAAACTGAAGTGAGGCTCCAGCAGTACCAGCCCAGGGAGGGATTTGTTGACACTGTCAAATGTGAGTGCTCCTGAACCTGCTGGTTGGTAGCCTGTGGTGGTTGAAGCATTGAATTGTGGGATTGCAAAAGGTGTCTCCACAAATTCCTGCCCCAGGATCTTGCAAATCTGTGAAAAATCATTCATCTAATACAGATGATGAACTTGCTCATTTTTTCTGCCACAATTTTCTCTATGTGATAATTTTTTTTTGTGGTCCCACATACAGGGTTAACTCCCCATTTTATAGGGGTTCTCTTCTCAACAACAAAATTCTGGCAATGATTTTTTCTGGTCCCTTGAGTTTCGTTGTAGAGACAAGAGTCCACCTGTGAACTGTAATTGTAATATAAAGTATATACATGCTCCAGTGACATCTACACAAGTAAACATGAACTTGTTTTGGCCATCTTTGATAATTATCAGAAAAGTCAGACTGTGCTTAGTTGTAGGTGGGCTGCTTATGATTGAGACTCCAGCAAATTGAATTTATGCCATCAATTATGAGAGCATTGCTCAAGATGGATATAAAAGCCATTTCCACCCCCAGATGTCACAAGTGTATTAATAATGAATGAAGGAAAAATAACCAGTTTTCAATCAATATTTCAATAGTTATAATTAGCAAGTGGGTACTCCACTTAGTTTTGAAATGTCAATCATAATAGACTAGAAATGGGGTTTCCTTGTTTCCATTGAGAAGAGCTGCTCAAAGTTCATGAATGTGTCAGGTGTGACTGGCAATCCATCTTAAATCAAAACATTAATTTACTAAAATGTTTCAAAATGAAAACAGCATAAGTTAAATAGCCAGAGCCTTATTTGTTCTCTCAAATATTGAAGACATCTGTAGGCTGATATAAACAGGATTTAAAAAATGATGAGAAGAGTACAACCCCTTCAAATGAATCTTTGTATCATTTTAAAGGAGCTTCATGAATCAGGTGACTCACATTGTACTGTTCAGGCAGGCTCTTCAAATTTCCAGACAAAACTGATATAGTACTTGTAACATGGAGGATGAAGAGTTGTGTTTTGAGGTAGCCCATTTTGGGACACAAATGGACAGAGCTTATAGAAGTTGAATAAAGCAACAAAATGCATAGAAGGTTTTTGAGTGGAGTGTTGGAATATGTTGCTGATTGATTTCTGAGCCTTCATCATGTTCCTTGGACTTCAATTTTGCTGGCATGCATTCATTAGCAAATCATGCAGACAAACTGAGTATAATTTTGAATTGATTATAACATTGTATAGTATTTGAGTTCAGGTTTTGCACAGTTTTACCTAATACAGTAAATACATTATTTGTCCACAATTTTAAGCTAGTGATTCTGCTACAGAAAACAATTCCAGAATGATAAAGTTGAATTTATTATTATGAATGCATCATATACTGTAAATCAGACATTCCAGTAAAACCCATTTGACACACATTTCAAGGGACCAGCAATTTGAGTTTGGGAAAATCATTTTTGATAGGCAAGAGGAAAAATAAGAACAGGAAATTGTAATGCTGATATTCTGGGCCTGAAAATTCCTTTTCAAATGAGTTGACAGGATGCTGAATTTATTCAAGTGAAAGGTTCTACCAAAAAAGTGTTTCACTTATTCTTGGAACACATTGAGTTACACTTTTCTCTCTTCATCAGTGTCAATAAAATGCTAGCCAAAAGGCCTCTAGAATATTCAAGTCATTTACCTTTGAGGGGGAAGTGTTCAAGTTAGAAGAGGCTTTTATAATTCATTGTTTCTAAATTGATCAAAAGAATTCAGACAGGGACTTGAAATAAAAGGCAGGAAGAACCCTTGATCATGCAAAAAAAAAATTAAACTCATGACACAGCAGACATTCAGCAATATAAAGAGCCTTGAAATATAATTTATTCCAAAGAGTAATTTGTCCTGACAAGATTTGTTGTAAGATAATTTCACTGTGTAATTTTGTCACCTGCATATAGAAAATAGTGGGCATTTAAAATGTTGCTGGAGTTCAAAACTTCCTTCTGATGGTTCCCTCTGTTGGAGGAGCTGGTGGTCCTGCAGTGACAGCTTCCACTATGCGCCGCGAACCAGAGAACGAAGTGGTTCCAGTGTAGTCTCCACAGAGGACGCCAGCAGTCAGGTTCCAGTACAGATTGTCCCCTTTCACCAGGTCCACGTCCCTTACGAAGTCCAGTTTCTTCTTGCCTCCCTCGAAATGCAGTGGGTGATCGAAAACCGCGTCATTATTCACTAGAGTCATCAAAGTCGTTCGGGGCTCAGGGCTGCAGGCCTTGAAATGTACCGTATATTTGCCGCTTTGAATCACGATGACTGATGTGAACTCGTCTTCGTTTCTTTCATTGATTTCCAGTCGGGTTAATTCACTTTCGAAATCGATCATGTTGAAGAGGATGGGACCGAGTCTGGAGTAACGCTGGGAGCTGATGCGCATCCGAAATGCCGGGATCAAGCGGTCTCTGAATTCCAAATGGTCGTCTCTCGCGTTTATGTGTGGGAGGAATGCCGACCGATGGTCCTATTTTAAGGTGAGTTTATGCGTGGACATTTGTAAATGAGAGAATAACCTTAGTAATGATTCAATAATCGAATACTGTATATAAACCGCCGGCATTCGATCATTATGCCGTGTGTCTCTATACTCAAACGAGGACCCTCCGACGAAAAAATCCGACGACCGAATGTTTAGATGAATCTAAATAAGTTGACTCACGCGAAATGTTCTTGCGTGTGTCGAATTCCAGCAAGTGCTGGGATTCAACTTCGGATTTTCCATTGAACCCGACAGAAGAGGGAAGAAACGTGAAATTCAGCATTTCCTTTAGCCCATGAACTTCGTGAAATTTTTGATAGGGCTGACTGCTTAAGATTGCCAAGATTTCTTGTTCAAAATCCAATCAAGTACGTATACAAGCACAAATGTCGGATGATTCATAAGAAAACTAGGATAGCTCCGAGAATTCGAAACACGAGGTTCAATTCCCTTACTTTTGAATCAATCATGCTTATAGAGTAATAGCATTTTTCGTTTCGCATGATGTTTGGTCATCTTCACGATTAAGATCTTAATGATAGGCGTATGCTTTAAGCTTAAATTGACTCACCAAAACTAATGTTCGCCTGCTGATCAGGTAAATTTAACAGGAGTTATACACCTCACGTCAGATTAGCTTCTCAAAATTTTCTGACTTACGTATTTCGCTATTGGAACTGCATTCGGTGGCGGTGATATCCCAAAAAAGATTCTTTGCGCTCGGATCACATGGAGAGTCAAAACAATGACGGACAAACATTCCCTATAGGTCATATCGAAACACTGAAAACACTTGGGCTTCAAGACGGCATTTTATTTTCCAAGTTCGTGACATTTCGAGCTTCTCACGCGCACTATCGGAAAGTTCACTGCTGCTGGTGATCGACACTCGCGTTAATCTTGGCATCTTATGAAACTCTCAAGCGCGACGTTTTCCACCTTTTGTCAAACCGGGTCGGGGCTGTTGGTCTTGCCAAAAGCTAGCATGATCGTCCACCACAGAAGGAGGCCGGCATTCTTTGCAATCGCTTTGTGTATTCATCGAGGGTTTCCCGTGAAAAGGATGATCGTGCGCACTGCTCTGGTTGCCGGGTGGCGCTTGACTAGGGGCAGGCATGGTGAAGACGAACGTCGTGTGCGGGTACGTCGTCTGGTTGGGATCTGGGTGGAACACATGATCCGGGTCTGATGCTGAAGGATCGTCGTCTGGCTTGAAACCCTGTGAATGCCACAGTTAGTATTGTAATTTGAACAAGTCGTAAAGCTCTTTGAAAGAGAGAGATAGTTACTCACGTGACTATGGTCGATTCCATCCGGTTTACACCTCCCACAACAGAAGTTGCAACAAAATATGCAGCAACAAAAGCAGCAGCAGAATCCTCCAAAGCAGCCCAGTGTTGCTATGAATATGAATGTTGCCAACGCTCTGCGATACAGAGGCTTGAAGAAGAAATATGCGTTGACAAAATCATCGCCTTCTTCCTCTGACAGCTTGATACCCAGTGATCCATGCTTGTCGTAAATTTTCCTCTTGTGTTCATCAGTCAAAACCCTTAACAGTAAAGTGCATTTTAATGCAAATTTCTCGCAGGTGAATAAAGAATATCAGTGTGCATATGATGAAAAAAGGTGCGCTTTTGCAGAGGCTCGTGAGCCAAGTAGTATCTCCTGATGTATGAACTACCACCATGTACAAGTGAGTGACAGTGTGCCCAAAACATGCCCATGCACCGCGCGTTTGAAGAAATTGGAGCTTAACTTCCACCGCGTGTTGGAGAAGCGTCGAAATGTTTCCGGAAATAAAAAGTACCTGTATGCAAAGTTGATATCCTTAAATTTTTCAGCGGCCTCTTCGGGATTCTCAATATTCTTGTCGGGGTGATACAAAAGTGCTTTTCGCCGGTAAGATTTTCGGATTTCCTCCGTGTCGGCCTCTTTCGCAACATCCAAAGTGGCGTACAGCGAAAGCCCATCTTGAGTGTACCTTTTTTCAAGAGCTTTATAGCGGTTGTATTTCTCGCCTGGTTCTTCGTTTTGATCTCCTTGACCTGGTTGGGGTGGGCGTTTGCGTTTTGGAAACCAACGGAAGTTTCTGAAAGATTTTCCTCGGTTTGGCCCATTGTTCTCCATCAAAAGTCTTATTCAAAAATGTCGATTACGAGAAATTTTTTCCGGCAGTAATTTGACTACGTAATGTACAGCTTTTCTGGAAGTAGAGAATGGTGAAAGTGGATCAGAGCAGAGGTGACGAAGAAGGAACTTTCCGTCGAAAGGAGACTGGCAGACGTTCATTCTAGCTTGGCGTAGTTGACTTTGTATTCAGTGTTCCAAGCGTCTGGGAAAGGCGCAAGAATCAGAGCTTGATTGGCATAAGGGAGGCTATCTTGCGGTGCTTCATCTTCTGTGTAGTTTTCCTCTCTTTTATCCCGTGTGCCATCTTCGCCTTGATCTTTGAGAGCCTTCAATCTTTCCTCCATGTAAACCTCGAAATTGTGGATCGTGTCGGAATGGAACAGTTCCTGGTTTTCCCGTGCGAATCTCATTGCGTGTACATCGGTCCCAGTGATTTTGAATGCGTTGTTGAAAATGTTGACGGTGGAACCAATTTTGAAATCATTGATGTTGTAGTAACAGGGCTTGCAGATCGTGTGTTCGGGTGTTGGGGCTCGCATTCTGCGCAGGAATTTCCTGCTTTTGCGTCGAACTCCGTATAAGTTTATGAGCTCGTGGATTTCGATTGTGTCGTCTGCGATGAAGTATTTGATGACGAAAGGACCTCTGTGTTCTCCATCGAATTCGTTGTCGAGTTCATGCGCTAAATAAGCTTCAAATCGCAGGACTTTGTCTCCGTAGGCGAATAGGCGATTGTAGTCTTTCTTCGGTGCCGTGGGTTGGAGAGACTTGCAGGATTGTTCCGAATCTTCGAAAGTTCCTATCCCGAAAGTGTGTGGTGGAATTTCCTGAGAATTTGAATGAGTTAATTATATTGATCGATTCAGCATGTTTTTACAATTGTTTTGTTCCTCACTCTTTCTGGCTCTGGGCGTTTTGGTTCCGAGATATCCACAGGCTCCAGGTTTGTCTCTCCGAGTTGCTGTGCCGCGAATTTCCGAGTGGATTCGTCGCAGTCGTAAATAAAGAACCTTTATGAGAGGAATTAAGGGCTGTATTCATTAATGTTCAACGAGCCTTTGATTGACAAATATTGTGCTTCGAAAACGGAAAATAGTTTTCTGAATCTACGATGGACTCAGAACGTCCTTCCTTTGATTGTAAGTTCATTTTTGGATCCCTCCAAAATTTATCGCCACGAACCAGTGTATTCTTTTTATTTGTGATTCAAATTCGAAGTTCTTTTAGTTGCTTTGCATATATACTTAATAGCCCAACTTTTATGTTTCCTCTTCTTGATGTTTCATTTACATTTCCGTTCGATTTTTACGCATTTCCTGGACGTTCTATGTTAGCTGTGTTCTAGGTACAGTATTGAAAAAGTCCGATGGAAGTCAATTTTACCCACATGCATTAGATTTGGGGGCATTTTGAAGTAAGGCGAAGTTACTCGGCGAAATCGTTGAAATGAAACTCTCGAATTTATGTTTGGATCAAGACCAAGGAAAGAAAACTTCGTGTACTGTTTTGGATTACATTCATCTTCCGAAAATATTGTTGTGGAGGCTGTTTTTTGTATTGAAAATCCGTTCTGGGGAATATGTTGGAGAAAGAAAAGGAAGTGTAATCGAGCTTCGGAATTTTTCTTCGTGCCGCCATTTTGTGCGCTCGAAAAAGGAAGAAGGCCTATGATGCTCACGGTCTGTTGAGCACGTGCACAGTTTTCCCAATGCCCAAATCAGTGATTGTCAAGAAATCTTCGCTCTCTGTGCCGCCAGGTGTCGGTGCTGTGATTTGTCGGGCATCCCTGACCACCAGCGACCTCTTTAGGAACAGCGGAAACGGCTCTCGACCCGCATTCGGTGAGTTGACCTCTTTCACCTCCAGTGTCCTATCGCTCAAGTAATAGTGAATGACGTAGGGTCTCAAGTCCCCGCCGGATTTCCGGTCATCCCAAACGGCGAAGAAGCGGAGAACGGTTTCACCGGACGAACGCGGAGCTTGCGGTCGTCTGCCGGAAGATGGCGGGCGTGATGACGTGCTTCTCGGGCGCTCGCGGGGAGGCGGTGTGGGATCCGGAACTGGTTCCGGTGGGTTCACTTCGATCCCCTCACTGGCTAACCATTCCTGCAACATTTTTTGAAGATCAAATGCGGAAAGGATTGATGATGCAGTTCAAAATCCTCCAAAGCAACTAGCAAAAAAGGAAGAAAAAAATTGATCCATGGAGGTTTCAATTTGGGGAGAAAGGATCATTTTTGTTGCGGGAAATGTAGATTAATTGCAGGAAATTGTAAATGGTGATATTCTGGGCCTTGAATTGCTTCTTGGATGAGTTTACAGCATACTGAACATGGAGGCAGGGGTTTATTTTCCTGATTATTCTTTCACTCCTGTTCAAAACACATGAGGTAACATTTTTTTTCATCTTTCCTGTATCAAGAAAATAATTGCTGTATGGACTCAGAAACTTTGAGTGATGAAGATTTGGGAGGAAAAGCATTTGAATTTGGGAGGCTTTTATTGCATTATTTTAAGTAGACACAGATGAGGACTTGAAAAAATTAAACTTGTCAAGATTCAAGTGTATAATGAAACCCCTTTTAACCCAATTCCCAGCCACGTGGCCCATTTTGGAATTCTGAGTTTTGTGCTGATGAAGCAGATCAAAACTCTCCAGATCAAATCTGAATGGGACCAGCATAAAAGGAAAAAAAAAGGGATCCAGGGAGGTTTCAAGTTGGGGAATACAAGCATTTTTGTTTTGTGAAATGTAGAGGAATTTCAGGAAATTGTAAATTGTGATATTCTGGGCCTTAAATTGCTTCTTGAATGATGAGTTTTACAGCATGTTGAACAAGGAGGCAGAGGTTGATTTTCCTGATTAATCTTTGATTTTGGTTCAAAACACTTCAGGTTACATTTTTTATTGGCTTTCTCTTTCCTGTGTCAAGAAAATAATGGCCAAAAGGCCTTAGAAAATTTGAGCTATGGAGGTTTGGGAGGAAAAGCCTTTGAATTTGGTAGGTTTTTTAATGCATTACTCTAAGTAGAGACACATGAGGACTTGAAAAAATTCAACTTAGGGAGGTATTTGACTCAGGGAGGTTCAACTTGTCAAGATTCAAAAGTATAATGAAACCCTTCTTAACCCCATTCCCGGCCATGTGGCCCATTGTGGAATTCTGGGTTTTGTGCTGTTCCAAAAAGTAGGATCCCCAAAAAGTCATTGACCCTGAGGGATTTCAGAGAAGGACTTGAACCAAAATGTACATAGGGAGGTATTCAAGTTGGGTGGGTTTGAGTTATCAAGGTTTATCTGTATAAAGTTGACTCACTGCAGTGAATTCGTCGCAGCGGCAAAGTCGGTAGTCTCTGGAAAAGAAACTCAGTGTTTTTCCAAGATTGAAGTCCTTCCAGGTGTAGTAGGGTTCTTCAAAGTCGTACTCCTGTAACCCGAAACCCTAAAAAACTGCAAACTACTCAAAAGGAACGTGGTCAGGTCTCAAGACGTTCATCCCCTTTTTGTGACTGGAGTTCACTTGGATGGAACAAAGTAAACGAATTTTTAAGTAATGGTATGAAGAAGCTGCTGGGACCAAGAAAAAAAATTGTTGAAACGCAAAACGCGTGATCATGAGGTTTGTTGTCACAGAATTTCGGTGCTCAGTGTAGAAAATTTTTTTTTATGAAATTATGAAGTGCACCCTTCTGTTCTATTTTTTAATATAAAAGGTGCGAGTGGTATTAGAGTATACATATATCCATATATCATCTACAGTGAAATCCCAATATACAGGCAATTCAACTTGGGGACATTTGTAATGCTGAAAAATCTGACCCAACATTTGTACAGTATCTTGACATATACTGACACTATTCAATATTTCTAGAATACAGTACTGTACAGTTTTTATCTTTTAAAATTTGGATATCTCTTGATCAAATTGAGCTAGAGTATTTATATTTATAAAAGTGAATAATGAATTTTTTCAATTTATGGTACTCAACTTTATAATAAAAAACAGGTTGATTTTGTGCCACTTTTTTTGAGTATCCTCCATCATCTGTATACAGTAAAGCAAGACTTCAACTTTTTATTTGCTCTTTGGTACCCTTTTGATCCCTTGCAATCAGATTCTAAGTGGTTTTCTTCCACACTTATATTTTGTATCTTTCAATTGACAAAAATGTTTTTATCCATTTTTTTGGGATATTTTTCTCTTTTTTTTTGATGAATTGTAGAACCAATTAATTCAGTTCCCATTGGAGTACAGTGAGACCCCAAGCTGCAGACATGAATGGTGCTTGAACAGTGTCCATATGTTAAGAATGTCTACATGTCACACCATGCTTTCCCATAGACTTCAATTTGAACTCATTTAATTGGTTCTCCAGTGCATGGAAAATTGGGAATAAATCCCCAAAACATTAAATAAAATGTTTTTCTCAACTTGGAGATACAGAATATAACTACAGTGAGACTGGACATTGGGCTTTGGGATTTTTTGACGTTTGATGAGTTTTCCTTGCACCAGTCCAGAGTTCTGCAAGTAGGGGAAAAACACTGACCTCAAGTGAACCTACCTTGTTTCATTTGCTTAAAAATTCATTTGGTGTGAAGAAGCTGCTGGGGCCAAGAAAAAAATTGTTGAAACAGCCAAACGCGTTATGAAGAGGTTTGTTGTTACAGAATTTTGGTGCTCAGTGTTGTAAAAAAAAATGTTTATGAAATTATGAAGTGCACCCTTCTGTTCTATTTTTTAATATAAAAGGTGCGAGTGGTATTAGAGTATACTTGTATCCATATATCATCTACAGTGCAATCCCAATATACAGGCAATTCAACTTGGGGACATTTGAAATGCTAACAAATCTGACCCAACATTTGTACAGTATCTTGACATATACTGACACTATTCAATATTTCTACAATACCGTACTGTACAGTGTTTATCTTTTAAAATTGGGATATCTCTTGAGTAAATTGAGCTACAGTATTTATATTGCTAAAAGTTAACAATGAATTTTTTCAATTTATGGTACTCAACTTTATAATAAAAAACAGGTTGATTTTGTGCCACTTTTTTTGAGTATCCTCCATCATCCGTATACAGTACAGCAAGACTTCAACTTTTTATTTGCTCTTTGGGACCCGTTTGATGCCTTGCAATCAGATTCTAATTGGTTTTCTTCCACACTAATATTTTGTATCTTTCAATTGACAAAAATGTTTTTATCCATTTTTGTGGGATATTTTTCTCTTTTTTTTTGATGAATTGTAGAACCAATTAATTCAGTTCCCATTGGAGTACAGTGAGACCCCAAGCTGCAGACATGAATGGTGCTTGAACAGTGTCCATATGTTAAGAATGTCTACATGTCACACCATGCTTTCCCATAGACTTCAATTTGAACTCATTTAATTGGTTCTCCAGTGCATGGAAAATTGGGAATAAATCCCCAAAACATTAAATAAAATGTTTTTCTCAACTTGGAGATACAGAATATAACTACAGTGAGACCCCCAGATGCGGACAAAATTGGTGCATCAAGAGTGTCCCTAAGTTGAATTGTCCCTTACTCAGGTCTTGTTATCCCATAGACTTACATTATATAATTTTTAATTGGTGTTTTATGGAAGAAATATTTGGAAGAAATATTCTTCAGAATTCCATGAAAGAAGATTTTTTGCCACTTGAATTTGATTCAGTGAATATCTTTTCAACCAAATAAGAACATTTGGAGCATTGAATAGTATATCACTGTACAGTTCATTGAAATGTTGGCATCTGTAAAAATAACATCCAACTCACAAAAAGAGAAGGAAGTCCCTCTGTGCTACAGGTAATTTTTTAAATTAGCTGAATGGCTGGAAAAGTGATGGGAAAAGTACCAAAGAATTTTTCTTACATAGATTTTGGGATTTAAAATATCTTTTTCTTGCAATGAAGCCTGATGAAAGTCAATTTTCCTAAAATTTATTGGCAATTTCATCATGCAATGTCCTCATGTTGAGTCAGTGTCCCTATGTTGGCCTTTTTTATGATTTTTTTAATGGAAAAATAAATGTCCCTATGTTGAGGTATCTGCATGTGGGTGTCTCACTGTATTCAGAATAAAGAAACCCACACCAAATATGATCCTCTGTCATGAAAAGGACTCAAACATACAAACAAAAAGTATATGTCTTGCTATCCTGCTTTGCACAGATGATAGAGAATGCTAAAAACATAAGCACAAAATTAACCTGTTCTATGACAAATTCAAGTAAATATATAATTGAATTAATTTTTTAATTCTGTGAATATACCGTATTTACTTGAGTACCCCTTGCCCTCAAGTAAGGCGCGCACAGGGGTTTTTCAGTTCAAAATTTGGCTAAAATTGTATCCCCAAGTAAGACGCGCACCCCATTTTTAGGGACTCTAAAACCACAACATTTTGAAAATAAAAACATTAATGTGAATCGAACATGAATCTGATCAATTTTCAAATTCTTCAGTATACAAAAGTTTTCTTGGTACATTTGTTACAAATTTCTCCATTATAATCAAGTACAATCAACACACAACTTCCTAAAACTTCTTGAACATTTTGTACCTGCTTATGACGCACACCCCTTTTTTTCTTATGAAATTTGAGAAAAAAGGTGCGCGTGGTACTCAAGTAAATATAGTAGCTCTATTTGTTCAAGAGATATTCAAATTTTGAAAAATTACAATGTTGCAATTTTCTAGAAAGGCTAAAAATGTGTGTGTTTATTGAGATATTGTCTGGATGTCTGGCCCGCTTTTTTGAATTTTCAAGTGTCCCCAAGTCAAATTGACCGCATGTTGGGGCGTCTTCATTTCAGGGTCTCACTTTTACTGCCTAAGTGCCTATACAGCACTGTATCTCATCATCAAACTCCGAAGTTGTATTTTAAATCATTCACTCACTGGAATGCTGGGCTCAATGACTGTGATGCAATCGTCTTCCAGATGGTAATAGACCTTGACCACGTGAACTCGTTCTTGCTCAATGCTCGACTCCGGGATTTGTTCGACGAAGAAGGCGTCGAAGACCAGAGTTTTCTTGTCGAAACGGACGTAGTCTGGGACCGGTGGTGGTTCTGCTGATGGAAGCGGAATGTCTGCGAAGTGCTTGGCCAAATCGTCTCTGGGATCCAAAGATGGTCTGCCAAGGGAAAAAAAAAACAAATATTTTGGGGTGAATATTCGCAACTTTTCACAGTGGATCTGATTTTTTTGTCGAAAAAAATTGTCATCAATTGTTTCTTTTTAAACTTACAATAGTGTATAGTTTTGGTTTGTTTCTCTTGGAAAAATTGGCGTTTCAGTACTTTCTTTGAAAGAGTTCCTCTGGATTTTATTCATTCCTTAAAAATGTATTATGTACTATTTGACTTGAATGATTGAAAGCAATTCTCGAATGTTTGCAAACAGAAAATAACACTATTTTTGTTTTCTTGAAAAAAATGACCAATTAAAATATATATTTTTAAAAATCCTTTGTGAATAGTTTGCAGTTGGAATTGATGTGTTCCTGGAAAATAAATTGCATCCCATCAAAGTTATTGAAAGGAATTGCAATTTATCCTGTGGAATTTTCACAAATGCAGTGACCATAAAAAGCAAGTAAAAGTCGGTAATCCAATTTTTTACTGGTGTATTTTTCAACTTTTGCTGTGGGTCTGTCATTGGAAAATAATTTGGTCTTTTTCAAATAGAAAGCTGAAGATTTTTAAACTTGTGAATTGAAATGTGAAAAGGTGTCAACATTATTTTGAAAAAGGGTTTAGAATTGACCTGCTCTTTTGAATTTGAAACATTTTAGTACAATTATAATGGGGAATACAATTTATTTCCATGTAACACAATATTGAATTGAAATTAAGTCATCTACCATTCCAAAAAATTGGATATTGAAAAATGAATATTCCAGAGAAACAGCAAACCTTGTGCAGAATTTCAAGTACCAACCCTTTTACAAGATACAATACTATGAACAGCACTGATTTCTTTTTATTGGGTTTGCCATTTTATTAAGGATAGTTAAAAGGATCCTTTTTTGTAGCACAATTTTTTCAATGGTCTACAATGGGCCTTGCTTTTATATGAACACATTTTTTTCCAATGAAAAAGACAGTCCTTTTTTTTCAGAAATACTGTGCTTGGTTGAATTTTGATTCACCATTTGGAAAATTGCACTCTAATGTAACAAGTGGGGGTCTTTTTTACCTTACCTCTCAGTACAGTATTTATTCAGTCAAAGTCAAAATGGGCTAATCATACAATTTGAAATTGATTCTAGCCCATGGAAACGCCTTTTGCTGCATCAATGAAAGTTGTTTGCTGTTTGCTGAGAATTGTGAGATTCCTTTTTTAAGGCTGAAAGAAAAGTTTTTTCACTGTGAATGTAATATAATTGATGAGTTAATTTTTTGCTGGATGGGATAATTACCTGTGTGTGGTGACTGTGGTTGTGGTGCTGACATTGCCAGTGGTTGTGACTGGAATGGGATATCCATTGATGTATTTGAGTGTATTGAGCCTCTTGTGATCTGGCCTCTGCATTGAGAAATATCATGGCACATTATTATACTTTTTTTTTTCTTGGAAATGTCATCCAAATACTGGGACATTTTTTGTATAAACCAGTGTTCCTCAACCTTGTTGGGCCAGGGGACTGACAAATTTCTGGGGACCAGCTAAGTTTCATAACATTTTTGCACACTTGCAAAAGTTTTTCTTGGAAGACTTTATGGCAGGTATTTAAGAGTTTCTGGTATTTTTCAGAAATTCAGTTATGCACCAATGAAGCAGCTATAGCTGAATGTCATCAAAAATTAGAAAGGTGAGCTTGAAGAAAAGTTTCTCAGAAAGAAAAGTTGAAATACAGTAATTCATTTCAGTATGAGAAAAGTTGTCAAGTGTTGTTTGGAGAAGAGCCAACCTTTTATTTTGCATCAGATAATTTCAACTGCTGTTGTCTTTGAAAATCCTCTTTGATAATAATAACAGACTTCATTACTACTTTTGATAAAATTTCCAAGATGACAAAAATGTTCCTGCAGACCAGCAAAAAACTTCTGCAGGCTGGTGCTGGTCCCCAGACTGCAGGTTGGGGAACACTGGTACAAGCTCATCTTCTTGGGGTAATAGTGAAGAAGAAAACAAGGCTTATTATGCAGAAGTGTTTCTCAGTTTCAGGCACTTATGTACAGTACACTAGGGTTTTTTTTTTCATCAATTGAGTAATTTTTGTGAGTGGTTTGGCTGAAGTGGTTGTAGTTTTAGCATATTTCAATTGTTATTACATGTGGAAAAAGATACCACTGTACACAACAACTTCAAACATATTCTAAGATGATTTGTTTTTCATTCTGTCTTCTGAAGCAAAAATTGGAGACATTGCATGTATGTTGTGCAAAATAATCTGTAATGCAAAGAGTTTGTTAAAATAATGCAAATTCTCTTTCCAATTTGTAGATTTATTTTCACTTGCACTCTTTATTCTTCAATTCTCAAAATAAAAACATACATAAAAACATTTTGTTAAAACAAATATGGTTGCAAGGAATGATTTTTAAGATTTCAACATAGCCACAATGTTTTTTTTGAAGTCACAATGCAACCTATTGATTCCAAAGGATCAATGAATCCTTCCAGGGTTTAATGGCTCTGTTGTAACAAGATTCTACTGGCATTCTGAGATTTTTGTTCTCCATTCATTTTGAAATTATGAAGCTCAAATGAAAATAATGAAGGTGGAACAAATAGACATCTTTTGTAACTTTTTGAAAATGATCAAACAATCCTTGATAATGCTGTACAGTATTTTATTTTCAATATGTATTACATTAATTAATTCCAAAATATCTTGAAAATTCTCTACCTTATAGTAAATGTTGATGTTTGGGAGTTGGGACTCAAACCACTGGATAAATGAGGTTACAGGATGCTGAATTGGAAAACAGAGGCACAAGTACTTGATTAGTCTCTTAATTCTTTTGAAGAAATATTTTAGACATTTTCTTATTGCGTTTCCAATTCCTTTGTACTCAAAATAATTGCTTAAAAGCCTGAAAAATCTTGAGTTAAAGAAGTTTGAAGGTGAAAGCCTTTGAGTTAGGGAGCCTTGCACTTTAATTAATGCTCTTGATAGAATTCAAACTTGGCCAACAAAAAAAAATTGACGTGAGGAGGTTTTTGACTTGCGGAGGTTTTCATTTATTGAAGTTCAACTTAATTTTTGAAAATAATTTTCGACTCACCAGCAGGTGGTGCGAGAAGCGGTACCCGGGAAGGCAAGGCAAGGACACTTCAATTGGGTCCCTGGGATTCGTTGCAGAATTCTCGATGTCATTCCTTTCATCCAGGTACTTTCTCGTCATTGTCACTGGCTGCGATGGTGTCGTCATCATGACGTTGAACGAATGATGAGGAGGAGACGAAGAAAAGGATGATGACTGGAATCAAAAGTTTCGTGACAATTGTGGCAGACCTGGTGGGTTCCAGATCTAGACTGGTTGCGGGGGTTCGTTTCTGGTCGCTGGTCTGAAGAATTTTCTGTGTGTGTGTTCAATTTCTTCTTCTTCTCTTCCTGCTCCAAATTGTCGAAAAAGTTTGATCAATGATTTTCTGTAGAGGGGAACGTGGGTTCGTTGCCCGCGTCGTCCGGGGGGGTTGGATCGATGATTCGGGCCCTTTTCGTTCGTAAGGCTGTTCCATTTGCTGGTCGGGATATTTTTTCTTTCGCTTTTTATTCCATTCCCGGATGTAATTTTCTGATTTTCTTTCAAATTGTGGGTTGTCAGCTTGAAAGAGGATACCGTATATTTGTTTTCTATATCGCAGGACAAGGAAGGGATTATTTGCTGGATTGAGATTTGGTTATGTTTGGGTACTTTTGATATCCGTCTTTCCATGATGGTGTTTTGTGATGCGCAAAATAAGTTTAGTGATTCGGTGTATTGTACAAGTATTTTTAAAAGTCAATTTAATTAATTTTTTGTGGAAAATTTTTTCATGGTTTGATATACTGTATATGGATTTTCAGCAAAACTACTTTAGGATAAACAGTTCAACCTCTCTTAAGTAAAATTTCTAGGGACCAGGAAACAAAATTTGACTTAGGGAGGTTTTCATTTTTTTAGATTTCCAGTGGAAGAAACAAACACTTATGTTGTGAGGAAGAAAAAAAAAAATAGGGAAATCATAAATGAGGATATTCTGGGGTACACCTTGCTGAACTTGGAGGCAGTTGTTCATTTGCTATACAGTATTTTTCTTTCAATTATTTACAAGTTGCATCAAATTATTTGTTTTAATCATTTCATATTTCAAGAAAATAATGACCAGAAGGCCTCAGAAAGTTCAACTTACAGAGGTTTTATGAAAAAAGGCTTTGCGTTAGGGAGGTTTTTAATGTATTGATACTAAGGGAATTCAGACAGGGACTTGAAAAATTTGACTTAGGGAGGAATTTGACTCAAGGAGGTTTGACTTATCAAGGTTCACCTGTAGTACAATTGGAGTTGATCATTCACTTTCAAATGATACTCAAGAATTGGTTTTCTAAAGTTTTCAATAATCAGCCATTTGACTCTAGGGATGTCTGTACCTTTCATTTTATTAGAGGTACGCATATAAATGTTTTGACTTGGTGTGGTTTGAGTTACCAAGGTTCAACTGTACAAAGATAGTGGGACCCTGAGATGCAGACATAATTGGTGCTTGGACCTTATTGTTCCAATGTTGGTTTATTTGCATGTTGGATCACATTTCCCCATGGGCTTCAATGCAAAGATATTTAATTGGATCTCATGTTTTATCACAAGTCCCCCAAAAATTGAATCAAAATTGTTTCCCTCAAATTCAAGATGCAAAGAATAAGTGATCAGAAGAAACCCACACAGAATCTGATCATTTGGAATCAAAAGATGCTTAAAAAAGCAAAGTCCAAGTCTTGCTATCCTGTGCACAGATGATAGAAAAAACTCTGATAAAAGAATAAAAAAATGAGCCTGTTTTGTATTATGAAGTGGAGTAAATTCATTATAAAATGTACAGTATTTTCAATTTTTGTGAATAAAAATAGCTAATCTTTTTCAAGAGATACAGGTGGTACCTTGCAATTTGACCATCCTGCAATTTGATTGTCAAATTTGCAGGGAACTTGACTTGCAATTCAACACTTGGCCCACAATTTGACATACTTTGGCCTCTTTTATTTTATTTTTGAATTTCACAGTGTCTTGAAATTTGACTGCTTTGCAATTTGACCCTAGTTTTTCAACAGATTAGGGTTGAATTGCAAGGTGCCACATGTATCAAAATTAAACAGAGAATTGTCTTATCTGGAAAATTTTAGCAAAATGCCTCCATCTTGAGGCATTCTCTGGATATTGGGGCAGATTTGTTGAGCTGCAAGTGTCCTGTAGTTGAACTGTCCATATGTTTGAGCATTATTGTGTAGTGGGGTCTTGCAGTACAAATCATTTTCTTTAGGAGAGGCAGGCTACCAAACTGTGTGCGACATCTGTGTGAAAATCGCAAACAATTCATTTCTCCTTCGGGATGAAATTCATTCCTGACGACGCTTCTTCTTTCCTCACCCTGTCAACAGATGCTTTGTTAGTCATTTTAGCCAGTGCGTGTGTTCTGTGAAGGAGAGAGGGAGTGTGTGTGTTTTGTTTGAATCTGTGATGCTGGGTGTGCGTCATGCGTGGCGCCGCCTGCATTCCTCCATCGGTGGCGGCGGCGGAGGCGGCGGCGTGTCCTCCAAGCGGAAGATGCTCGAGGCGGCCCTTCGGGTCAACCCGGAAGTCCAGGCGACCCTGGAATCTGAGCCGTGTCGCGTCGTGGCCCTGGAAACTGCTGTTGTGTCCCACGGGTTGCCGTACCCGGCCAATCTGGAGGCTGTGTTGGGCATGGAGGACGAGATCCGGATCCAAGTGCGTGTGCAATTCTATGACTGTACCTGTACAATAAAAATGTTGTTGCAAAGAACTCTCCGAGAACCTGTGATGATATTCGTTGTAGAGGCGGAGTCTCGGCTGTAGCAAAATTCTACGGGCTGGGGGAAAAAAACGTTGTAAAGAGAATTTCTTCCTGAAGTGAACCATGGTGGAAAAACCCTTTGGGACCGAAGAGAAAAATTCGTTGAACTGAGAAAATTGTTGCAGACACAAGATTGTTGTAGAGAGATTCCTGGTTATTTGTACATGTATGGCTGAAATGTTCCAGTAAAAAGGTATTACTGTATTGTATTTATGCGAGTACCGCACGTGCACCTTTTTCTTTCTGGATAATCAAATTTAAAAAGTGGGATATGCGCTGTATGTGGGTAGATCATTCTTCGAAAAAGGAAAAACAAATGTGGTTTTCTTATTTAAAAAAAAAGGCGGAATTGCAGAGGCATTCATTTTTTTTTTTGGAGTGATTTTCTTGATTTTTCACGTTGGTTGTTGGTCTAAGGAAAGAAACTCTTGCGCTAGAAATCGTGTAACTTTGTATTTGTGTTTGTGGAGGATGAAGGAGAAAAAATTATCGAAATTTTATATTACCTCCTTTTTTGTTCATAGGGAGGAATCCCGGCAACCATTTGTGTCATGGACGGAGAAATCCACGTTGGATGTTCACTCAAGCGATTGGAACGTCTTGGGAAGTCGAAGGAACCGAGAATCAAAGTGTCTCGTCGGGATTTCGCAAACGCCGTTTCTCACGTGTGTGCTATAAAAAAGTTTATATTTATAAATATATATATATACGAGGGTTGGTTTGTAAAAGATGATAAACTGCGACTTGCCGTCATTGGATGCGGATGTAATTTTTTTCTTTTGCTCTTCAATTCTTCATTGGTGTCCAATAGTTTTGTCAATCACTCAGCTACAGAAGGAAACAAGAAAAAGACCTGGATAACCGTGAATCACCTCCACTAAAGTGAAGTTTAATTGATCAAGAGCAGCTGAATTCACACTTGCATGCTCTATATGCACTTTGGGGGTTATATGGTAAACTTCACTTCAATGGAGGGTATGCACTGTAATCCCTGTCTTTTTCTTGTGTCCTTCTGTAGCTGAAAATAGTCATTGAAAAATTTATTTGACTCCAATGAAGTAATGAATGTCAAGAGAAAAAATTGCATCTGTCTCCAAGGATGGCAAGTGGCCATTTATTGCCTTTTACAAACCAACCCCTGTATATACAATGAGACCCCAAGATGCAGATGCAATTGGTGCATCAAGAGTGTCCCTAAAGTCAAGTCATTTTCCTTTAGACTTACATTTTATAATTTTTAATTGGTGTTTTATGTACAAAATACTCACCATGATTCCATGAAAACAAAAATTGTCTTCCAATTTCAACTGATTCCAATCAATATATTTCAACAAAAGATGGGCATTTGGGGAATTGAATACTGATACCTCTGTAGAGTACATAGACATGTTGGCATTCTCTGTAAAAATAATATTCAAGTGAAAAAAGTGAAGGAAGTCCCTCTCTGCTGGAGGTAATTCTTTTAATCAGCTAAATGGATGGTAAATTGGTGAGAGAAATGCCCAAAACTTTTCTTACATCAATTTTAGGGTTGGAAATATCTGTTTCTTGTTATTTGGCCTGAAATGTATTTGCAATTTTATCACAAAATGTCCCTATTTGTTGAGTCAGTGTCATCATATTGGATCTTTTTTATTATAATTTTTTATGATAAAATCAGTGTCCCTATGCCAAATTGTCCGCATGTGGGGGTCTCACTGTATTTTATCCTCTTGACAACATTTTCAAAATTTCTCGAGAATAAATGAGCTTAATGGTGAATTTTTTGAATTCATCATTCTCTGTTATTATTTTTTAGAAATTGAATGGAGGTACTGGGGTCTCACTGTATTTTATCCTCTTGACAACATTTTCAAAATTTCTCGAGAATAAATGAGCTTAATGGTGAATTTTTTGAATTCATCATTCTCTGTTATTATTTTTTAGAAATTGAATGGAGGTACGACAGTTGCTGGGACGCTGATGGTCGCAAAGGCGTTGGGAATTCAGCAGTTTGCCACTGGTCAGTGAGGCTTTTTTTCTTCTTTTGATTGATTGATTTACAAAGATAATTTGCTGCTTGTCAGGAATCACTAGGTACAAAAAAGTTCCCCACTAAATTGAATGGTCCAATCGTGTTTTTTATTCTTTCATGATCTCTTTTCAACATTCAGTTGTCGAAAAAAATTGAAATGAAGTGATTGATTTCAATTTTTCAACATTTTCTAAAAAAAAAAATCTTGAATGTTTCCTCTGTGAAATCTGTGTGGAAAATATTTCCAGTTGAGCTGCTGATCTCTGGGCATTCCCTGGTTGAGCACGAAGGAAATTCCAGCTGCTGTATAATTTAAGCACCTCATTAGCCCCTTGGCTGGTCTGCCAAATATTGATTTTGCGAAATGTGTGGTGGGGTCTCACTGTATTTTATCCTCTTGACAACATTTTCAAAATTTCTCGAGAATAAATGAGCTTAATGGTGAATTTTTTGAATTCATCATTCTCTGTTATTATTTTTTAGAAATTGAATGGAGGTACAACAGTTGCTGGGACGCTGATGGTCGCAAAGGCGTTGGGAATTCAGCAGTTTGCCACTGGTCAGTGTGTGTTTTTTTCTGATTGATTTACAAAGATTATTTGCCACTTGTCAGCATTCACAAGGTACAAAAAAGTTCCCCATTAAATTGAATGGTCGAATCGTGTTTTTTATTCTTTCCTAATCTCTGTTAAACATTCAGTTGTCGGAAAAAATTGAAATGATGTGATTGATTTCAATCTTTCAACATTTTCTAAAAAAATAAATCTTGAATGCTTCGTCTGTGAAATCTGTGTGAAAAATATTTTCAGTTGAGCTGCTGATCTCTGGGCATTCCCTGGTTGAGCACGAAGGAAATTCCAGCTGCTGTATAATTTAAGCACCTCATTAGCCCCTTGGCTGGTCTGCCAAATATTGATTTTGCGAAATGTGTGGGTTATTTGGAGAGAAAAAAATGTTTGAGGGGTGACCAGAAATTGCGCGCTTTGCTCCGGCATTGATTGTAATTAAGTCCAAAAAAATTTCATCGGATGAATTTGCGTTTCGTTTTGCACGTATAACCATGAATAGACACTATTTTTTTGCGTAATTTTCGCAGAAGTTGAACTATTTGCATGTGGGGATCCTCCCTAAATCCAATATCCTCTGTATGAAAATTATTTTCAAGTCCCTTATGTGTGAAATCACTCAGAAACAATGCATGATTAAATGAACAGAAAGCTTTATTTGCTGCTTTTCAGCATTCACAAAGTTCAATCAACATTCCCACATCCAAACCCCCTCCCTACCCAACCCAAATCCATTCAAAGACATTCAATCACTTCAGAATGGGGAACAGAGGAAAAAGCTGTATATGGATACCAAAATAAAAGAAAATACATTCCACAATGTACAACTGATGTGTTTTTGTACACCCCCTTCTTTCTCTGACATTGAAAACAAAATATCAGTAACAAGAATTGCTGGGTAAGATAGAATTAAAGCTATTGCAGCAGTTATACTGAACCAAATTCAAAGCACAAGGTCTTCAGCCTGTTCCCAGATGCGGTTTAGTTGAATGAACAATTTAGAGAGAATCTTTGATGAGAAATCATATAAGACCAACAGTTTATCTGTTGATCCTCTATGATTTCAGAGAGTGTCCCTTCATTGAATTCCAATGCTTGTAAATCTTCCTTTGATCTCATTTCCTGTCAATATGGGAATGCTGGGCATGAGAAGAGAAGGTGCTCTGGCAATGCACCAACCAATGTAACAATGCATTGTTATCCTATTTCCTTGAATTTTAATTCAAGATAACTAAGATAAAAATATATATGGGAACGCTTCAAGAGTGTCTACTCTTGTTATTCTTCACTCCTTAGTTCCAGAAGAATGCTCTTTGCTGACAACAAAAGACTTATAAAAAAATAACACAGACTTTCCAACAACAAATTTATTCAGTCAATTTTGACAACTCAAAAACCCAAGACAATACATGTGGTGGGAAAGCCTAAAACAGAACTCTGACTCCTTCTCAGAGGATTTGGCAATCAACTGATTTTAGCAGGTTGAGGCAGGGGCTTTTATGCTAGATTGTGGGATCCTCAGTTTGTGGACAAGAGTTTAATAAGATGCAGTGCAATGCTTTTGAAACAGTGTGTTGAGAAAGTACTTGAACTGAGGTCAGGAGATTTTACTGTTTAGGGAGTGGAGATTTACATTCCAAGATGAGCATCATCTTGAGACACTGTTTCAAGATACAGTGCATGTATTCAGATAGTAAGAGTTTTATTGCTGGCTGCATTTGGTGAATGCATGAGCGGATTCTTTTGAAGAAGGGAAGCACCACAAAGGTGCTGATGAGAAAAGCTCACCATGATCAAATATTGCCCAGGGGCAAAATCCTGTGTGTGCAAAAATACCATTTGTAACAGCATTAAAAAACCTTCCTAGCTCAAAGGCTTTCCCCCAAACCTCCATAACTTAAATTATTTTTTACTGGACTTTGACTTGTACAGGCTCAACTTTAATTCAAGTTTATTGCATTGTAATCTGATTTCTGATTGTATATCAGTAGATACTAAAAACGGAGAGTTAAAATTTAAGGAACACACAAAAAAAAAAAGTAAGAACCATTTAAACTCCTGGCCCTTACTTTTGAACTCAACGAAGAAAAACTTCTCCTTAACTTCATAAAATCCACACTACACTTGATTTTTTTTTTCGGGGAATTTTGTTACCTTCTTTGTGTGTTAATGGTGTCATGCGTGTGTGTGTCATTTTGTGAAGTAATTTTGAACAATTTTGCAGGTGGAATCGGCGGTGTTCACCGAGGTGGAGAGAGTAGCTTTGACGTGAGTGCAGATCTGATGGAACTTGGCAGGAGTCCAGTGGCTGTGATTTCTGCAGGAGTCAAATCCATTCTGGATGTGCCGAGAACCTTGGAATACTTGGTGAGGCTTCGGATTCCGTTTCTCTATACTGTACTTGACGATGTATTGTTAATGGAGAAAAAGTTCGCATTTCATCAATTTTAAATAATTTAATTATTTCTCTTGGAAATAGTTTTTACATTTTATCTCTGTTCTCAAAGCAAGCAAATGTTTAATTTTTCGTTGTTTTATTTTTCAGGAAACTCAAGGAGTGTTTGTTGCGACTTTGGCCTACACAGAGAAGGGCAATCCCAAGTTCCCCAATTTCTTTGAGTGTGAGGGTGAAATTGAAAGCCCTGCTGTGTTGAGAGGCATTCAGGCTGCTGCTGACTTGGTGGAGACCCACTTCCAACTTGGGATAGACTCTGGTGAGTGTCAAAACACTTGCAGTATTTTCTGGTGCTGATGGATCTTCAAAAAAATAAATCTTTTTTGCTTCTGATGTGTTATATTTGGATATTACAGTGAGACCCCCACATGTGGACACCTTGACATGAGGACAATTTGACATAAGGACATTTATTTTTCAATAAAAAGGGCATGAGAAAGGCTTGACATACAGACACTGACTCAACATGGGGACATTGCATGATAGAAAGTGCCAATAAAGTTCTCAAAAATTGACTTCTATTTGGCTTGATTGCAAGAAGCAGATATTTCCAACCCTAATATTTATGCAAGAAAAATTCTCATTTCTCCCATCATTTTCCCATCCATTCAGCTAATTAAAAAAATTACCTATTGCATTCAAAGACTTCCTTCTTTCTTTGTGACTTGAATGTTATTTTTACAGATGTCAACAATTCAATGTACTGTACAGAGGTATGCTATTCAATGCTTCAAATGTTCTTTATTGAGTTGAAAATATATTCACTGAATCAAATTCAAGTGGCAAACAAATTCTTTTCATGGAATTCTGAAGAGCATTTTTTTCATAAAGCACCAATTGAAACTTATGTAATGTATAAGTCTATGGGAAAACAAGACTCAACTTAGGGACACTCTTGATGCACCAATCATGTCTGCATCTGGCGGTCTCACTTTATAAAAGTGTTATTTGTTGGCTGACAGGTTTGTTGATTGCTGTGCCTGTGCCTGAAGACCATGAAAACAAGGCTGCAGCTGTTGTAATTGCTGAGGCAGCAGAGGAAGCAGAAAAGTTGAACATCAGAGGCAGAGATGTCACCCCTTTCATTCTCAATATGATCAGGGAGAAGACAGATGGCTCTTCTGTCATCACCAGTAAGTCTTGAATGCAAGTGCAACACAGTGTCCTGAAACATTGGGTCTTGTTTTTGTGTTCCCTAGATGTCGCTCTTTTGTTGAACAATGCCAGGATTGCTGGGAGAATAGCGTCTTTGCGGGCTGAGCACAGGCTTAGGGAAACTAACCGACTCAGAGGAGGTTCATCTGATGTGGAACATGTCCATCAGCAGCCTGTTAGTCCAATTTGAGCAGCAATGTTATTCTTTTTCTTGCATGTGTCCTTCCTGGTGTCTGTAACTACCGATAAAAGACCTAACAAGACCCCTTCGACTACTCCTTTAGAAAGACACTAAGAGAACCCCTCTCTACCAGAACCGACCACATTATGTGAACGACGAAACTACGACGAGTAGAGACAAAAAATTTTTTTAATGTGGTGGTTTTTTATTTATTTTTGTGATGAAATCATAAATCATTTGATTATATTTTTGTGTGTTGGTAGGTGGTTGTTGGAGCTGCAGCACTGGACTTCTTGGTCAAAGTGAAGTGTGACCTGGTGGTGAGTCTTGGGTTTTTTTTTACTGAGCTGTTTCCCTTACACTTGAACACCTGGAAGTTGAATTCTGAGGGAGTCAAGGAAATATTTGCCTTGGAGAGTTTTTGAGTTGTGAAGTGTGGCTTTATTTGGATAGGTTGATCAGTGGAAATTATCTTCTGATCTAGTCATAGTAATTATGGCTGTTGAGAGATGTTTTACCTGCTGAAAGATGCCCAATCCCTTGATTTTAGAGGGGTTAAAAAAGTTTTTGAGGTAAAAGATTGAATTGTATTGGACTTGGGGGATACATTGGATGGGGATCAACATTAAATTTGAATTTGTCAGGTTTTTGATTTGAGGAGGAGAATTTGCCCTACCAAGGACCATCTGTGATGGATTCCTGTTTATCTGTTTTGTGAAACATGAAGTATAGATGTCACCTGAACACCCTCACTCACAGTTGATGGTACAGTTTTCAAAATCCTTTTTGAAATCAATCTCATGGGTTGATTAAGTGTTCCACAAAATAAGGTAAATCATCTAATCCTGAATAATGAAATGATTTTTTGATCTGAATCTATCAAACACACAAACAGAGTTTTTTATGCTGATGGAAATAATGTATTTTTTCCGTTATTGACTTTCATGTCCTTGCCTTTGGGTAAGACAAAGGCATTTATGATGTTCATGAAACCTTCCTCATCTGAAAGTTCAATACTGTACTTTCTTCTGTTCATGATGTGCATGAAATTTTTTTTTTTTTTTTTCTTTTCATGTCCTTGCCTTTGGGTAAGACAAAGGCATTTATGATGTTCATGAAACCTTCCTCATCTGAAAGTTCAATACTGTACTTTCTTCTGTTCATGATGTGCATGAAATTTTGTTTGTTTGTTTTCCAAGTCTGGAAAAGAAGAAACTCCATCTTACTTATTGTTTGTATTTGAGGAGGGGATACAAATTTATCCTCTGCATATTTTGGGGTGGGTTTGGTGAACCACTGAAAATTTCTTGAAGGAGAATGCATGAAATGTTTCTCTCTCCATCAAACTATTCCAACAGCAATTGAGGAAATAATATACCTGAAGAGCTGTGGAATTTTGGAAAATGTCAT